GTATTGTCTACAAATCAAGGCTTTCTAATGCTTTCAGGGAAACTAGTACTTTCTGCAGTCTCTTCTCAGAGCTTTGTGCCATGCTAATAAAATACCTCCAAAACCAGCATGTTTTAACTTCACTTGCTATATACAGCACCTCTTTGAAATAGCTGCTGTTTATATGAAGCTCAACACATAAGGAATACTTAAAAATGTCAATTGCATCACACACAACAAGAATGGTGCAAATCACCTTAGCTATTATTGTATTTGCACATCCATTTACAGAAGTGCAGCTCATTTCCTTGTAGCTGTTACAATCATAGGATGGTTTGGGTTGGAAGGGACCTTAAAGATAACTGGTTTCAACTCCCCCACCATAGGCAGGGACACCACCTATCCACAAATTCTCTGGGCAACCTGTTCCAATGGCTCACCACCCTCACAGTAAAGAACTTCTTTCTACCATCTAATCTCAATGTCCACTTTTTTTAGTTTAAAACTGTTGTCTCGTGCTATCACTATCTGTTTGTGCAAAAAGTCTTTTCTCGCCATCTCTTTTTCAGAGCCTCCTTTAGGTACTGGAAGGCTGCAATGAGGTGTCCCCATGGCCTTCTCTTCTCCAGGCTGAACAACCCCAACTCTCCAAACCTATCTTCACAGGAGAGGTGCTTCAGCTCTCTGATCATCTTCATGGCCTCCTCTGGACGTCCTCTAACAGGTTCACATCTTTATTTTGCTGAGGACTCCAGACCTGGATGCAGGTGGTGTCTCACAAGGGCAGAATAAAGGCAGAGACTCACCTCCCTGAACCCTGCTGCCCACACTGCTCTCGATGCAGTCCAGGATACAGTTGGCTTTCTGGGCTGCATCACACATTGTGGACTACCAGCACCCCCAAGGCCTCCTCCACAGGGCTGCTCTCAACAAGTCCACCTCCCAGTCAGTACACTTGTGTCTGGGATTTCCCTGATCCAGGTGCAGCACCTTGCACTTGGACTTGTTAAAGCTCATTAGGTTCTCATGGACCCATTTCTTGAGATTGTGCATGTCCTCCTACGTGGCATCCCATCTTTTGTTGTACTGACTGCACCACTCAGCTTTGTCGTCAATGATACTGCTGAAACAATAGGTTTTTTCTAATGAAATAGTTAGAATCACTTTAGAAAGTCAGTCTGTTCATACTGCTGTTTCAAAATTATTGAATTTTCAGCTGTGACTTTTTAAAATTTTCAAACACTCTCCAGCCTAAGAAATAATCAAACTGGTGAAACAACTTTGTGCACCATCAGATCGAAGAAGGAAAAATGCAAACACTGTGCACCATCACATAACCTAATGTTCTGCCGCCTATGCTTTTCAACAATGCCATATCAAATACAGTTTATGCACTCTTAAGCTCTATGAAATGGCCACACTGCACAGAACTTTCAAAAATCTATATAGGCTTGCTTTTATAGGCAGAACAAAAGGAAAACAGAGGGAAAACTGATAAAGATTTGGGGTGGGAGAAAGACAGGCTAAAAGGGATAGTGAAGGAAAGATCAAGCGGAGGGTGGAACACAAAACAGGCAGAAGTGTGCACTACCACATGCTCCCCTTCATAGTTTGCAATGAAAGACAAGATTTCTATCCCTCTCCATTCCCCTTCCACCATCAATATCTCTGAAAACAAAGTATACATCTCCTCCCCCTCAAGTGCTAGTTCTTACAAAAAACAGAAAACCTGCGAGTACAAGTTTCGCATTAACTTAAGGACAGAAGTTCACACAGCAACTCTAAAAATTCCCAAGCTCGGTGTTCCATAAAAGCACCAAATGCTACCAGTTTCCCATACCCCAAAATATTTTTTTCCTTTAAAAATTTCCAGGTCAACAATCCTAAATAAGTACATGTATACATAGATAGATAGATAGATATAAATATAAATATATAGCTATAGATATAGATACAATTGTATATGAAAAAAATACAACTAAGTGGTCTATGTAGCTTATTCTTGACCTGTTGTACATATGGTACTGTCATTAGTTACATGACCACAGTATATTTTCCAAAGGAAATTCTCTGTTCCTGACTCAGCTTTACAGATGACTCACTCTGGAGACCAGCTGCTTCATGTTCTGCAGGTTTTCGCAGCTCTCCTCCTTCATCTGCTGTAACAGCTGGAACACAGGCCATAAATGATTATGGTAATAGTTACTATCATATTCTGAAGAACTGAACTCCGATCTTGCCTCTGTCTATCTCTATATAAATTAAAACACTATGAAGTGAATTTTTTTTGAGACTGTAGCCACCTGTCCATGGTTATTTTCTAGACCTTTCCACTCTGGTGTCTAATTTGAGATCTAACAGTCTGATCAAAAAGGCTCAATTAGCTCCAATCAAAATAAAGTGAAAATACTACATCTGCTAACATTAAAAACTCCTAAAGCACAGGTTCTGGTTACACTGATCATCAGATTTAATGGAAAATAAACAATTATGGCAATCACTTTACTGCCTCCTCCAAAACTGGAGTTTTAGCTGTAGGACAAAGGACCATTCTGATAAAACTTAAAAGGTCCTTATAGATAAATTGCAAGACAGTTTTGCAGACCTGCATCATTCTTAAAAGGCAGGTAAGTCTTGATTTCTTGTTCCTCATGACTGAAGTTGGACACCAGGAAAATGAAGACCTACCAGTTAAGATTTCATCTTGAGGCTTTTGGAATACAAAGCAGCAAATAGAAGCAGCTGATCAAGAAGAAATACCTCACTCAAATCAGCTCAGGAGAGTAAAAAAACCCATCAACTACTTCACAGTAATCAGCTTCTATCTTGGATCCAGTCAGCCAAACAAGATAATTCAACAATTACACGTTCAGGTGAATGGAGAAAAGGAGATCAAGCCTGACACATCAATTCAGAGACCCCTCTATTACAGTTTGTTCTAGCTTTAGTTTATGTGAGTCTATGCTCTTTCTCCTTACAGAGTAGTGACATTACCCACAACTGAGTCCTGCTTGAAGAGATTTAGTAATTACTCTGTTGTCTGCTGGGAACATGATGAGACTTCAGGTTGTAGAATCACAGGTGCTAATGATCCTAAGAGTCTGATGTTGATAGAGATAGATTTGGGGGCACCAAATTATTTATGATTCATAATGTTCCAGAGGAAGGACTTCATACTTCACCATTAGCCCTCATTAAAAAGTGGCATTTTATAATTAAAAATTCGGAAATGAGTGAATCAGTTCACAAATTTTAGAAAGTCTTATTTTTGCCAAGCCTCATAACACTCACCTGCCCCACCCCAAACAGTAAAATAAAAAAGAGGATGGTAAATGTAACATACTGCCAGGGATACTTTAAAACACTGAAAACTGTGGGATAATGAGATCAGAATAACATTTTACAGCAAGCAGTTTTTAAAAACATAAATGAAATCTCTGTTTCACAGGGTTTACTGAAATGCAGTCAACTTAGGAAATGCAGCACAACATGTGCACACATTACTGGCAGCAACCCTTGTTAACCTTTATGGGTAAAAGAACTGGCATTGCTATAAACCCCTGAAAACTAGAAGCGCCTCAAACTAGAAAAAATAATGAGAACAAGGAAAAAAATATTTTCTATATGAAAGCTTAGCTATTTCTGTCAAAAATTCTTACCTGAATTACAACAGATCAAACCCTGGGGAGAGGGTGTGGGGGGTGTGGTATTAATTTATCATCCAATTAAGTTATTATATGTACAAAATAATGTCTAGTCGCATAAAACTAATTCCTCAGAGAAGAAAAATTCAATTTAGCCTTTAGAAATACTTGTCTTTATGTGGCTACCTATTATTAACATTACCCTTTTCTTCCCAGGATTACTTCCATCATTTTAATTGTAGGAAAGTTAAAGGGTTCATCTTTCTGAGGAAGTTTGAAGAACAGTGTTTGGTACTTTACTA